TTCATAGGTGTGAAGGGGAGGTGGAGCCACATAAAGGGGTGTCTTGAATATGACATCCCGATTTAAGGTCTGCATGCATGGGTGGTCTGTAAGGAGCATTCTCCATGTGGGAGGGAAACTCCCCTGCAATGATAAGAGAATGTAGAGACTGCCCACTCCGGCATGACCATCCTGTATAGTGAACTCATATGGAGCACATACAGCATCCTGTTTTTGCAATCCGCCTATCAGGGTGGTCTGCTCGAGACTTTATTCTAATGAAGGGGAAGCTCCCCTCAATGATGCAAGAGTCAAATGACCACCTACACTTATAGAGTTCCACACACATTCAATATTGATTTTGTCTGCAATACAATAAGAATAAATAGAACATCATAATCATCATGTATATAAACTAAAATTCACTGTTCTGAGATAAATATACGACCTCCAGCACACTTTCAAATCTTCCCCAAGCATAAAGTCCTTTAAGAAATCCCTCTCTACATATCTCAAAACAGAATGCACGTGTTATGGTCGATGATATATTTCCGACCAGTTCTATGTTACATTTTTTATATATTGTGGATTAATATTGTTTTTGTATTTTATTGTACCATATTGTATCAATGCAATGTTTTGTGGACATAAGACATACTTGAAAACGATAGAAATCTCAATGTATCCTTCCTGGTAAAATATTTTATAAAGTGCATATGCGATATGACAGAAGCGCTACCTAAGCAAGGATATATGCTCACTGAAGCTAAATTATCAATATTAGGTAAAGGCACCAAATTGATGGATGTTATTCACTGCTGTCCATATTAAAACAGACTCTTGAGTCATGGATGGCTGCAAAGAGGGTGAGAAGTTGCAATAAATTAATCAAAAACATGGGATCCACACTGCTCATGTATAAAAAAAAAAAATATATATGATTTAAAGGAGAGTGTCACAAATTAGACCCTGCATTTAATCATTTATAAATGGTGTACAAGAGAACCCCCTCATTCAAGTCCATTGGTGAGAAACTTTGAACTGATAAATTCCTAGACGTTATCTCCTCCTCAGCTTTTTGTTTAAATCATCTTTTCTCTGGTCCAATTTTACCAAATCTATACCAGCAATCTTTAAGCCACTTGAATCTCCAAAATGTTAGGATTTTAGATGTCTTGATATAGTGGTATCAATTGCTTTCTTGGTAGAATTAATGTGTTATAAAATACAATTATAGACCAATTATTTTTTAATGATCCTATAATTTGCTGGACCTGTTAATATTCCAACTATTCCTCTCTTATATATACTTTAATGTTTTGGAGGTTTACTAATATACATTTCGATGCAAGCTAACCGTGTATTTTACTCTAGAGGTTATTGGTCTCAAGAGTGTATATTTCTGACACAGTTCAACACACAGAAATTAAAACAAACAGGCATCATATATTCCTATGCTTACTTATGTGATTAACTGTAATACAAATTTTCCAATGGCAAGTACATTCCAATAATCAAGTGGCAACATTGTATTCACAGACAGTTTTTGTCAAGTGATGAGCATTTAATTTTTTGATCTCTTCTTTTTGCATGGCTGTCTTTTAGATTAGTTTTGCACACTGCAGTTTTAGTAGTCCTTCTTTATATTGTTAGGAGAGAATTAAATACTAGTGGAGGGATTTTCCTGTCCTTTCTTTTCTTATTCTCTATGAGAATATGAGAATTCTGATGTGTTATGAAGTTGAAATTATTATGAACAAGGCTAATTACTTACAAGAGATATATAGACAACTAGAGGACCAAGATACCTATAAAAAGTTAATCGTAGTCCATCAGAGGAGATAAAGAAAAAATATATGGAATTTTTACATAAAGGACTTCTTAGAGGTGTCTTAACATCAGCTGAATACACATTTTTAACTATAGACTGTCCTAGAATACCAGTTATATACATCTTGCCGAAATTGCACAAGAATGCCCAAAATCCCCCTGGGAGACCTATTGTCTTCGGGATTGGATCATTATTATCTAACTTATCTCAGTATGTAGATATTCATCTCCAGCCTATCGTTAAATCTTGTCCATCATATGAAAAGGATTCTTCCATGAGTCTTTTAAAGACTCTATACTTGCATCGAACATTCTTTGTGATGTAATGCTACTCCTTTTTTTCTTGAAACTACTACCCTGCTCCCCAAAGATTAGATAAATTTTATATTGGAGGGTTTTTTACTTACCCTTAATAACAACTTTTTTTGGTTTCAAGGTGATTACTACGTTCAGTGCAGAGGCACGGCCAATGGGACCAAGTTCGCACCCAGCTATGCAAATCTTTTTATGGCACAGTGGGAAAGATCTTATATATATATATTTCCAACATAGCTGGTCTGCAAACCTGGTCCTCGATAGACGATATCTTTTTAATTTGGAAGGGCAATAGAGCTTCGATTTTAGACTTTTTATCTTTTTTAAATAGTAATACATGGAATAGCCTATTAACGCATGAGGTGAATGTAGAAAAAATTAATTTCCTCGGTTTAGAAATCTACATTGAAGGAGAAAAAATAAAAATTCGTACATTTTTTAAAAAGGTGGATGTGAATAGTTACTGTAACGGATCACCTGGCACCCCGACTGGGTACCTCCGTTGAAGGATGCTCCTAGCGCTTCCTGAGGACTCCAAGCACTGCAGCAGACACCACAACCACCGAACCGGAGAAGCATACGAATACTCTCAAGCATATGAATGCCGTAAGCAGCTGAACAGGAAAAGCATACAAAAAGCTTACACTTCTGGCAATCAGCATACAATCCAATTCCCCCAATAACGAAACGACACTTAGTTTGAGGGTCAAGCAGAACTGACTGTACTGGCACATACAGCCTCTTTTATTCACAATCCACAAACATAGTACTGCCCACAAGGTTTTGAAATACAACCAATCAATCCGTACAATATACACAGACACTACCACACAAAATCCTCCCTTCTGCCTGTGATATGATTACTGAACATAATGGTTAATATAATTATCACAGGCAGAGAAATACAGAATTATAAAACATATCACACGGAGCCCAAAACATGCAATAACCCCATAAAAATATATATATTCGGAACCGGGGGATCTGGGTGAACCACATATCCAAAATTCACCCAGATCCGTTCAGTAGTTTGGAAGATACAGTTTAATGCAGATTCCGCAGAACATATATAGGCTATATGAAAAATAATTACTGTATAATGTGTCTCCTGTTGTATAGTTTAAAACTACTGAACGATGTCTTTGTGCACCAAATACCGGCGAGATGGCACCGTGTAGAAAAGTCCAAACAGTTTCTGTGAGTTAAAATGGCCACCATCCATTGTTCTCACCATGTGCTTCATCCATTGTTCCCACCATGTGCCTCTGATACATGAAATGGTGGCCACCCAGTAACTCCACAGTATGTCCCCAGATGGTTCTTAAAGGGCCAGCAGCAGCATAATAAAATCAAGTATGCCCACATCAGTTCCTAGAAAGGCAATACATCCCAGGGCCATAGTCACAGGGCAGGAGGCTGGCAAACAGGTTACTTTCGCTACAGTTATATTCACACAGACAGCTGTCACTTCCGCCCATGGCTGGGTAATATTCCTAATGGACAATTCCTCAGGTTGAGGAGAAATTGTTCAGACATCACCCAGTTTCAAGATCAGTCCAACCTCTTGAAGGACCAATTCCTTGAACTAGGTTATTCACTTAATATTCTTAATGACAATATCCAAGAAGTCAGAGAATTAGACAGAGAAAATCTTTTGGAATACAAACCTAGAAATAACATCATTGAGACATCATTGAGAAAGTTCCTTTAATTTTTAATTACAACAGCAATCTTAAGAAACTAAGACACATTATTAACAAAAACTGGCATATCTTGAAACAAGACTCAGAATTAATACCGTTTTTAGAAGATAAACCTAAGGTTATTTTTAGAGGGGCACGTAATCTGAAACAAATTTTAACTTCCAGTTTTATTGATGTTAAATTGATGCAAAAATGTCAAACAAAAAAAATAAAAAGAATTGATCATTTTAAATCCTCTTCAGGACAGGAATAATTTCAGATTAGATCTTTTATTACCTGTCATTCGAAGAATGTGGTTTATATGCTCATGTGTCTTTGTGGCTTGCAATATGTAGGCAATATTTCAAGATGCCTTAAAGCCAGGATATGTGAGCATATCTACAACATAAAGAGGGGTTATCTCAACCATAATGTGTCTCAGCATTTTCTAACATGCCATAATAGTGACCCTACCCATCTACAATTCCTTGGAATTCAGATTATACCGAGATATTGGAGCGGTGGTAACCTGGAGACCACATTGAGCACATTTGAGATGAAGTGGATATTTGATCTAGATACTTTGTCTCCAAAGGGGCTCAGTGTGGACTTCGAAATGGCAGTTCTAATTTAATTTATATTTTTGAATAATATATATATATATATAATTATTTTTTTTAATTCTTTATTTTTCTTTGTGCATGTGTAAACAGACAACATTTGATCTAGCAGTGCCACAGCAGCGACTGCGGGCTTATCTTGAACAATTAGTTGATATGGCATGCATTTAGACAGCACAATTTTTGTGTTATTATGTCATGCTAAATTATCATGCTATATATGATATGATATATACAATATCTTAATTCTAAAACTATGTTTCCAGCTAGGTGGTTTCAGGCAGTCCAATACCGTGCATAGTAATTAGTAGTGTGAACAGTTACATGTCTGCAAATGAACAATGGGCTGGAGCTTGTAGCAGAGGTGTAACTCAGGCAAGATTCAGGCAATGGGCTGAGAGTCATTACACTATGACATGTTACATATTTGACTGTGTATATGCACTAGATACATCTTAAAGCCGTTACAACGTTAGGTAAGCATGTGAGTAGAGATGTCGCGAACTGTCCGCGAACTTCGCACGAACGGTTCGCCATGGTTCGCCACGAACCATTCGCGGCTAACTCCGGTCAGCTGACACATCCCGGCCAATCACCGGCAGACCCTCCCTCCCAGACCCTCCCACCTCCTGGACAGCATCCATGTTGAAGCTGCCTTCAACATGGATGCTGTCCATGAAGTAGGAGGGTCTGGGAGGGAGGGTCTGCCGGAGATTGGCAGGCGAACCGTGGCGAACCGTTCGCGAGAAGTTCACGGACGGTTCGCGACATCTCTACATGTGAGTAATCAAAAAACAAGCTATTTAACTCCACTGGGTCCTTGCATGTGAGTCACTCTTCTCCTCTGGTCCTGCTCCGGTAGGCTGTTGGAGGTAGTAAGCTGTGGGGCATGCTTGGTCTCCCGGGCTTGTGGCTTCCCTGCCTCCACCCTGGTGAAAGGGTATGTCCGCTGGGCTCATGGTACAATGTAAGGTAGGTAGTCAAGTGTCTCTAGAAACTGCTATGTTTATAGAAAAAAGGGTTAAACCTAGCTGGACCTGGCACCCAGACCACTTCATTAAGCTGAAGTGGTCTGGGTGCCTATAGAGGTCCTTTAAATTCTTTCTAAAAGCTTTGTAAAACACAGCATCCTTTTCAGTGAGTTACTGCGATCTGTTTCAAAGTGTTCAAATCTATTTGCTCAGAGTCTGACTCAAAAATCCTGCTTCAGTTCAGTTCTTTCTGAGAGCTTTATCAAAATCAGCATCCTTTTCAGTCAGGTAGTGAGATCTGTGTTTTTTTAAGTGTTTTTTTTTTTTTTTTACCAATAAACAACCATGAATTTGGAAAGCTTGGAACTCTTCAGAGAAAAATTATTACTATTTTTACCTGTTCGGCACTTATAGAAACTGAGAAAGAAGATACAACTAAAAATCCAGAAAACATTCCTGAAATAGTTGAATCTACTGTTCCTCAAATAGCAGAGACAAGTGACAAGTCAAAAAAAAAAAAAAGAAAAGCACACAATGCTAGCCAATCTTCTTCTCAAACAAAGAAAAGAACATATGACGATCGATACTTGTCATTTGGATTCACAGGTGCCAGAAATAAAGATTGTCCTGAATCACAATGCGTACTTTGCAATAAAATATTGCCATACAGTTCATTAGTACCTGCTAAATTGCATCATCATTTTGAGCAAAACCACGCAGAGTACAAAGATAAAGACATTGACATTTTTAAGTGAAAGCTAAAGCAGTATCAGAATAGTAAACAATTTATGAGCAAAACATTTCAAAATGCTAATGAAAAAGCCACAGAGGCTTCTTACAGAGTGAGTTACCACATAGCACGTGCCGGAGAAGCACACACAATTGGGGAATCACTAATAAAACCATATGCAAAAGAAATAGTGTCATTTATTTTAAGTGAGACGTTTAGTGAAACAATTTAAGCTGTGCCACTTTCCACAGCAAAAAACAGCACCAGTTCTCAGTTCTCAGTGTTCTTCACAGACATGCACTGTTAGCTAAAAATATTTCAATCTCACGTAAAACTGTGCTAGATGAATCGGTCCAGATTATTAACCCCTTAATTACGCCCTATTCTAAGCGGCTCTAAATGCAGCAGGACGTAATAGTACGCCCTTGCGGTTTTTCTTACTTACCCGGTCGCCGGCGATCCCACGCCAGTGATCGCGGTCGGGGGACTCACCTGGGATCTCAGGGAGTCTCCCACAGCTGATCCTGCCTCTTCCGGCCCCCCCCCCGGCCATGTGAGAGTGAGTTAGCTGGCTGCTGCATTGATAGCACGGAGACTGCCTGTAATGACAGTTAGTCCCCCTGCTGGCTGGAAATCAAAGAAACAACAGTTAAAATTAGTGTAAAAAAAAATTATTATATACTTAGATTATATATATATGATCTAAGTATAGATATACACATATACATACACACACGTACACCGTCTAGGTGTATTTTACTATTAATATATATTATAATATATATAATATTAATATATATATATATATATATATATTAATATCAAATTGCACGGAGACTGATACTGATTAAATATATATATATAATTATTGTTATATATATATATATATATATATTTATATATAATATAAAAAATAAATATGTAAATACGTTAAAAATAAAAAATAATAAAAAATAAATAATTAAAAATTATATAGATGTGTGTTATTTCGTTCTAACTGTATTGTGATATTAATATATATATATTTATATCAAAATACACGTCGAACGAAATAATATATATATCTATATACATAAATATATACGTATTTATCACTATATACCTATATAATAAAAAAAATATTTTAAAAAATTATATATATATATATATATATATATATATACACATATCTATATATATATATATATACACATATATTAATTCTACATATATATTTATGTAATATTTTTACATAATTAGGTATTTTAATTAATTACAATTAGCGGGACCTGCCTGACAACCCATGCCGAAAGTATAGGGAATTTAATTTGCTAGCACTATATTTAATCCTATAACTTTCTAAGACACCATAAAACCTGTACATCTGGGGTACTATTTTACTCGGGAGACTTCACTGAACACAAATATTAGTGTTTCAAAACAGTAAAATGTATTCCTGTATTGCAATGATGATATCACCAGTAAAAGTGACATTTTTTGCATTTTTCACACACAAACGGCACTTACACGGACAATATTATTGCTGTGATACTTTTTACTGTACAAATATTTGTGTTCAGTGAAGTCTCCCGAGTACAACAGTACCCCTCATGTACAGGTTTTAACGTGTTTTCAAAAGTAACAGCGTCAAATATAAGGCTTGTGTTTCATTTTTTTCACATTAAAATTCACCAGATTGGTTACGTTGCCTTTGAGACCCTATGGTAGCCCAAGAATGAAAATTACCCCTATGATGGCATACCATTTGCAATAGAAGACAACCCAAGGTATTGCAAATGGGGTATGTCCAGTCTTTTTTAGTAGCCACTTAGTCACAAACACTGGCCAAAATTAGTGTTTTTTGCATTTTTCACACACAAACAAATATCAACGCTAACTTTGGCCAGTGTTTGTCACCAAATGGCTACTAAAAAGGACTGGACATACCCCATTTGCAATACCTTGGGTTGTCTACTATTGCAAATGGTATGCCATTATGGGTGTAAATTCATTCCTGGGCTACTATACAGTCTCAAAGGCAACATAACCAATCTCGCGAATTTCAAATGTAACATGCTATATTTGACCCTGTAACTTCCCAAAACACCATAAAACCTGTACATAGCGGGTACTGTTTTACACATGAGACTTTGCTGAATACAAATATAAGTATTTTACTGCAGTAAAAGCAAACAGTATTATGACATTGACAGTTAAAATGTCATGTAGAGGGGCGGGGCCGGACCGCCGAGCAGGACGGTAGCATGTCAGACCAGCTCCTGAAACTCAAAATAAAATAAGCATGAAAATGAGACTTCTGGCATAAAAAGCCATCCGGCGGCGGTGGCCCTCATCGGGTGGAGAGTACCGGATCCAGGGTGAGGCTGGCTTGATGGGTTTTAGTCCCCTGTAGGAAAAAACCTCACTAGCGCAAACGAGGCCTACTCCGGCGGTGAGTGGAGCAGACGGCTGCTGCTCCACTATCCCACCCATCGGTGCTCAGCCAAGGGCCAGACCCGTGAGGAAATGGCCCCCCCCACTGGACCGGGGGGTGATCCCGGTCCTCACCCTCGGGCCCCGACCACCCAGTGTGCAGCAGCAGGGCCGTCCTGATCCGACACCAAGACACAGAAATCAAGATGGTGGAGGCCATATGTGATGGCGCCAAGACCGGAACCACCACAAGCTACTCACCAAAACCGGCAACGAGGCTCAGAAGCAGCCCACACCGCTCCCCCTTCAAAGAATGTACCTTCGGGACGGCCAAGCAAGAGGCGACACTTTAATGAAGGATTCCTGCCTGATGCACCTTTACAACAGAGCCACAGTGCCTGATGACAGCCCGACCATAAGGTGGCAACAGCGCACATGAACTCTTCATGCTTCAGCCGGAATCCACAGGCAACGCAGCATACAGCTAGAAGAGGACATTTGCTGCAGGTTCCTGGGATACCTGAGATGTCTGCCGCCACCACGCTAAATCACTTGAAACCATGCTGAGTTGTAACCTTTACTTTGGGTCCTCTCTTACTGATATCACCGTGATATCCCAGGGACTGTAGTAGGCACTCAGAGAGGATCGGCTGAGCAGCGGCACACGAACGGAGCCTGCCAGGCATACACCTCGCTACAATTGGACTCCTTCACCATACCTCATAACATAAGACCTGAATTTTACATGCTAGATAAGTGTACAGTAATAGTATTTAACCTGTTATTATTTAATCCTACTTTCATTCCTACAGAGTTGTTGCCTTTGCTTTTTCTATGTGACAACCTAAACGGCATTGCATTAGACCACATGCCAGCATAACTTGAGACAGCAACCCAAATCTGTTTATATAAGGCATTACACTGATGGTTTACTTTTTTGTCTAAAATACACTATTACTGAATTTAAGCAAAACAGCATCCTATTTAGCAGGAAAAGCAATGTTCTATGTTATGCAGCCTTTGTTTCTTTAAAATGAGAATCTATACAGAGCTCCATAGGTGGTGTATAAAGCGTTGGGTAACATTCTAATGCTCGCCTCCTTAGCAAGCACCCCTAAGCAAGAATTTCCCTATAACCCTGACACCACAGCATTGATGATCATAACTTGTTGCGTAGATCAAATATTGTTTTATGGCACTTTTTCCTATCCATGCGTGTACCTCTCTTGTCCTGATAAACAGGCCGGGAGAAGGTGCCTGAAAAGCAATATCGATGCAGATACAAACAGGCGCAGCTTTCTTTAAAGCATACCTAACGTGATACCATGCTTAAATAACTGCTCGCCCAAGCCATGTTAATGCTGTACACCTGAATGAAAATGCTCTAACTTCTAGACCTAATCTTACGTTATTTCATTTTACGTTGCTCTATCTATTATTGTTGCCTTTTAAGATTAACGCATCAATCTATACCATAATTAAAAAAGTTGCACTGTCCAATCATTCCCTACTGTATATATTGTTGCTGAAATTAGCGTGTGGATTGTCGTTGGGGTACCACAAGCATGTCTGTTCCAACTATATGCACTACAAAAATAAAGAATTAAAAAAAAAAAAATG